CGCAGGCGACCGGAAAAAAAAAACAGAAAAAAAAAAAAGAAAGAAAGAAAGAAACGGCCATGTGCCTGACTGAACTGCTAGAAAAAGCCAGCCGGAGTTTCAAACTGCTAAACGCAGTTTCAAATGCAATTGAAACTCGGGCCCTGACTAAACTGCTAAAACCCAGTTTCAAATGCAATTACAAACTGTAACCCTGACTGCGCCGTAGTTTTCTCAATATTAAAAGAAACTCCAGTGAAAAAATATAAAAGAAAACTATTTGTTATGTAAAATCACAATACAAGCAATGTTTTCCCCGGAGTCATGTTTAATGGGAAAAAAAGTATGTAGCCTGAACATGTTTGAGAGTCGTTCGCACGAATGAGCAAACACGTTTGTGCGACCATGGAGAGGCGCGAACACATTCGCCGTGCTACGCAGATACAAGGAAAGAAAATACACCTGGGAAAAGCGAATGGTTTGTGGGGTTGAAAAACAGTAAAAAATACTGACCTCCCTAAGCTGATGCAGTTCAACATTTCCCAAGCCTTCTTTTCTTGTCCAAGGAAAAATTTAATGGTCAACAATTGTTGGGCATACCAATAGGTAAGGGATCAAACGCTCCTATTGCAAACCTTGTTTGTAATAACCATGAGGTCCACTAGATGAAAACATTACGGAGTGGTGATGTACGTATCAGGCCTACGATTTACGATTGATACTTTTATTGCTGCAACGTGCATCAAACGAAACAGGCAAGCAGCAGTAAATACCGTACAGCGACTTGGTAACTGCTACCACGACACTTTAAAATTGGAAGCAACTTCGTCAGTTGAGGATGATGAGAACTTCTTCAGTTGAGGATGATGAGAACTTCGTCAGTTGAGGATGATGAGAAAAAAATGCCTTCACAAGCATATCACTAAGTAAAAGAAAGGAGTCCTTTTGAAGTGCTTACATGAAGTAACATCATTTTAAAAATAAAAAAAAACACTCCGAGAGTGTTTTTTTATCGGTTTCACACTATGAAGTATTTCAAGAGTTCTGGTTCATTGTAGTGCCGGTCCCGTGAGCGTGATAGGTCGAATTCGGTGAACGGCCGTTCACGCGATTTCTGCCCACGTGGAGGCCGGGACGTCGGGATCAGGGAGGAAGGGGGGGGGTGCGGGGGCCTTCTACACCCCTGTGCCTTCAAATGAAAAAAATAAAAAAATAAAAAAAATCAGAACAGGGTGTGTGTGAAGGGGAAAAAAAAAAGTTTAAGGCGTGGAGGTGGGTGGGGGTTGCTGCAGGGCCCTGGCGGAGAAGCAAAGAGGGGGAAAAAAAAAGTCTCTCTCTCTCTCTCTCTCTCTCTCTCTCTCTCTCTCTCTCTCTCTCTCTCTCTCTCTCTCTCTCTCTCTCTCTCTCTCTCTCT